ACCAGGTATTCCAGATCATTGTCCAGCACATGACTCTGGCGAGGTAGTACATTTGCCGCACGAAACAAACTGTACACTATTTTACAAGTGTGACGAAGGTAGAAAAGTTCTTCATCAATGCCCACCTACCTTACACTTTAATCCAGTATTACAAGTATGTGATCTACCACAATTTGCTAATTGTACGATCAAATCAGGTAATGAAGTGGAAGTTAATCAAGAATTATCAGATGATACAGCACAAATTTCATCGGATTCTGTTCGGGCACCAAAAGAATGTCCACCAGATGATCATGAGAAATTGGTGCACATTCCTCATGAAACAAATTGCTCTCTCTTCTATAAGTGCAACAGAGGACAAAAAATACTTCATCAATGTCCACCAACTTTACATTTCAACCCACATTTGAATATCTGTGATTTGCCAGAAAATGCTAAATGTGAAAGCAAACCTCAAGAGGAAGTTGATATAGATCAAGAATTAACAGAGGATGTAGCACAAATTTCGTCGGATTCTGTTCGCGCACCAACCGAATGTCCAGCTGATGATTATAACAAATTGGTTCACATTCCTCACGAAACAAATTGCTCTCTCTTCTATAAGTGCAACAGAGGACAAAAAATACTTCATCAATGTCCACCAACTTTACATTTCAACCCACGTTTGAATATCTGTGATTTGCCAGAAAATGCTAAATGTGAAAGCAAACCTCAAGATGAAGTTGACATAGGTCAAGATTTAGCAGATATTTTTAAAGATGTGGTTGTATAACCTGTTACAAGAGATTGTCGTAACTTCGGTGAAGTAGAATATTTGGCCCACGAATCTAATTGTTCACAGTTTTGTAAATGTATTCATGGTAAAATAGTTTGCTTTAAATGCCCGCCAGGATTACATTTCAATCCAAAATTGAATATATGTGATTATCCGGAAAATGTTAACTGTGTGAATGCATAAGTCAATTTGTAAAAAAAAAAAAAAAGAAAAAAGATTGAATCTTTAATATGTATTACGATATTAGAGATCCTCGGTCGTACTTTTTCTCTTATTTTCTTATTTCTTTATTGAGAACAATAAAACGATCAATCAATAATTCAGAAATTTTTCGAACGATTCTATTTTATATTACTATCGAATACTTATAATTATTATTCTTTGAAGCGAAATACGAAGTACCTGTTGTAATAGAGATTTAAATTTATAATATATTAATTGAATTTATAATTACATTGTGTTGCATATATTGAGAATTAATTCTATTACTTTTATTATTTAAGTATATTTTTTTAAAAATTATTTCAGCCTATATCATTATTTAAAATTGTATAAGTGATATATTAAATTTTGTTTCAAATAATGCTTTTAAACATTCATTTATTATATTTAGGAAAAATTGACTGTTTTTCCAATAATCTTATTGTATTGATTAAATAAAGATTTATTTAACTTTTCATTAATCTTATATTTCCATACATATTCACAGCAACGAATTATAATCTTCTTTAATTTCAAATTTAACTTCCTATTTAAGAACACAGAACTTTGAAGATCTTTTTAATAAAGCGTATTTAATAATATTATACAATCCACATAATCCTAGATCATTCCTTATTTATTTATTTTTTTAATACCATCTCAAACAGTATCTTTAATACCAAAAATCAATTGTTATTTTATTGATAATTAAATCTTGCATATGCACTTTATTAATTTAAATTGTTAATCAATTAATCTCGTTTTATTCTTTTTTATTTCCAAATTGTCGTAACTTTGATATAAATGAGTTTAATTTTATGCTAAATTACGATGATATTAAAAAAATTCTTACAGAATGAAAATAAATGTTAAATCAATTATATTTTCCATCATAGAAGCATCTAAGTGCGAGGTGTAAAAGTGTATTAGTTTTGCCTGTCATTAGTTTGATAAAACTGTCATTACTTTGACTAGTTGTGAAATAAAATACGACGCCTTCAAAGAAATAGTTAAACTTAGAACGTTTCCAACATCGAAAATTCATACAATCCTGTGCGTTTACTCAGTATCGTCGTAATATTTATCAATCATGTCACTATAGTTTACTGCTGGATTATTTAAAAATATTTCTTTACTCAAATCAGAATCCTGAAAGTTACGAATAACTTGTCCCGTAATTGGTTTGCTTTTATCTTCCTTTAGTTGTTGATAATTATGGTGAATATCGGGTAGAAATCTCAAATTATTCCATGGATATCCTAAATAATATTCGGGTAATGTATTTATTCCTCCCCTTTTTCCATACCTGTATAAAAATATATATACATATATATATAATGAAGATTAAACCATTTTTTTTTTTCATTTACATTTTTATCCTTTATCAACTCTCACGTTGTTTTATTAATTTTAATCAAAAATATCATTTATATTTTACCATAATATATTAAGAATTAGTTGTTAATTAAAACCAATTATTATTTTTCTTATAATATAATATTTTTATCAAAATTCTGTATTAAAGTGTACTGACGAGGAAAAATATGATTAAATCATCGACGGATATTACCTTGCCTTTCCATTATACAAATAATGATCTTTCACGAGATCTACATATTTTCGCAATTCTTCCGGACTTGTAAAAACTCTAGGTTTCATCGGTAAAGACATTGGTTCTGATTCGCATTGGATTATGGTTATACCAAAAATGGTAACAAGTATTACAAGATTGAAAGATTTCATCTTAGATTCTTTTTATTTTTTTTTTTTTTTTTAAGTAGACGTAGACGAAAGATGAAAGTTTGACTACTGTAAAAATCAAATTTAATTCATTATTTATCATTTATATTTTCAATTTTTGTTTTTTATATATATTGTATGTGTGTATTTGCAATGTGTGATTTAAAATATTTCAATATAAATAATCAACTTCTTCCGATAAAATCTTTACGCGTGAATATGGAACATGGAAAAATGTTCAACGAGAAATTTCACAAATCGATTGGTTAAACTCAATAGACGGTAAAAGCTAGTGAAATTCAATATATTATACAATAGTATGTAAGAACCATGTGGATGGAAACTCCATTTCAAAGTTACCTGTTGCTTCTACCACCACGTTTCTCTAGTCCGACAAATAACTTTGTCGATAGTTCTAGGTATTCATTTTCCCTTCGATATTGATAATAACAAATCTGTTTGAAAATGAAATAATAACAATAAAAAAAATACAACAATAAAATAAAATAAAATAAAATAAAATAAAATAAAATAAAATAAAATAAAATAAAATAAAATAAAATAAAATAAAAACTAACCCGACTCCTTGCAGTAAGTATTTTTATTTAAATTTTTATATTATTTAAGATAATTAATTAAAAATATTAAAATCATTTATATATAAATTTATATTTATATAAATATATATAGCATGAGAAATAAAAAAAGAAGTAAGACTTAAAGATAGGATGATTATAAAGAAAAGGTTCAATGTGAAGATTGAAACTTTCGTATAATACAGGTCAAGCGACTGAACGAATTAATTATAGCATTTTTACAACCTCTTAACGGGACAATATTGCACGTTTGTGGTTACCCAGCTCAGGTCCACTTCATAGATCGATCGTTTTTTCATGAAATTGCAAGAACTTATATAGCGGATGAAAGGTTGGAAGAAAAAAGAAATAAAAAGAAGAAAAAAGAAAAAAAAGAAATTCAACAAAATAAAATATTGTTGGATGATAATTTCAGTATAAAAAAATTGTTTTCTATTCTTTGTCTATCTCTTTCTCTTTCTAATGAACAATATTACAAATAATAAAACAATGTATATATTTTTAAAAATCATAAATCGATTTTTTTTACGGTTTCATTCGTTAGAGAGTTCAATCTTTCTTTTCTTTTCTTTTTATTTTTTGTTTTAAATTTCATCAACACGTAAATTCATTCGACAAATTTATTCCCCCATGAACATTTTCCCGTCCCATTGATGTTGATTCTTTTGACCGTTTAATTAAATGGAATGAGGATAACAAGATTCGAGTTTTAAATCGATAAGCTCAAAACGTTACACTTTTGTTTTATCTTTTGATTGTTTATAAAAATAGATATGTTAATTATTTAATTTTTTGTTCTTTCACTTTTTGCCCTTTTTTTTTTTAATTTTTCGTTTCGTTAAAATATCAGCCGCGTAACACACAAAAAAAAAAGGAGGAATTTCAATGATTCAAACTGTCACATTGATATAGGCGAGAAGAATATTTCGTTGGGTGAAACAAAAAAAATAAACAAAAAAAAATATTTAAAAAAAAATGAATAAGGGGGGAAGGGAGAAGGTGAAAAAGGTAATATTTAAATAAATTGCTTGTGTGCAAGCGAAATGTGAAATGACAGGGTGACACATTCACGTTGAAATTTCATTTAACGTTTACCAGCTATTCCCATATATTCATTTATTCATTTTATTTATTCTTTTATTTCTTTCTATCTTTCTCTTTCTCTCTCTCTCTCTCTCTCTCTCTCTCTCTCTCTCTTACGTATAGTTTTAAATAAAATTAATGGAAATTTTGTTCGCGCCAATTGCAAGAGAATTTAAGTGGTACTTTGACAAGTGACAAGTTCTCGTTAATTTCAATTAAAACATTCATTAAGAATTTTCACTTCAAGCCGAAGAATTAACTAAATCTTACGAGTTTATTCACTTCATTAAAGTTTACTAGATTGAAAAGATAAATGACTAATTAAAAGCTCGATAGATAATTCATTATTTCGACTGATGAATCGAAAGAGAAAGAAAGAGAGAGAGAGAGAGAGAGAGAAAACAGACCAAAAAAAATCCGAAGAAACCGAAACTTTTAAGCGAATAAAAATGAATAAATTTTGATGATTCTTTTGAATAATTTTAAAAATTGCATTAAATGAGAATAAAAAAAAAAATATCATCACTTTCGTTAGTTTAAAGCTCGACCAATTTTTTTATTTTTTATTTTTTTTTTAAATAAGAAACCACCTTTATATATTTTGATATCCAGTTCACGAATTTGTTTCTTTTTTTTAATTTTGTTTACACGAATTAACAAACTCTCACTGTTATATTTTTCTCGTCGCACAAGTCGATGAAGAAAAAAAGAAATAAAAAACAATGCAAAAGAAATAAAAAAAGGAAAACAAACAAAAAAATAAAAGGATATATAGAAACACCTGGCCACCATTCCCTGTCCAAAAAAAAAAACATAAAAAAAAAAAAAAAAACAAGAAGAAGAAGAAAAAGATTTCAACGATCTCGAGAATCACTTTACTCACCGATCGAAAATTATCGAACAAACTTGTTAATCTGATACGAAAAAATCCTCGAATTTGAATTCTAATATATTCTTTTATTTATTTTTTTTTTCCCCCAAAGAAAGAACACTTGTTAATTTGTTTTTGTTGTTGATTAATATTTTCTTTTAATAATTATCTACCATATATATAAATATATATATATTTAAATTTTGTTGTTGGTTATACTTGAAAAATTTGTATATATTCTCGTATATTATCACTTAAAATATATTCCTGTAGGTACGGTTAAACCTTTCAGAAGTTCAGATCGCCCGCTAATGCCACCGGCACGAGTATATATACTTGTGAACGCACCCTTTCGACGCATCCCCTCGATTGCAGGTCGCCTTTCGCGCAGCCAATCCTCGAACTCCAGCCCCACCAACAACGGAATAGAACACCCCCTTTCACCGTCGTTGTTCAACCATATATGGATATCTTTCTTCCTCGATCTCTCCCCAAGCTCCAACCTCAACTCTTATCCCTCATCCCTCACCTTTTCTTTCTTCTTTTTTAGTATCTCTAAATGAATGTAACTATCTACTACGTTTTTATACTTGTGCATACTTTTTACATTCGTAAGAATTTATCTCATTCATCATCCCACCCATTCTTCAACTTCTTTCAGTGTATCTAAATGAAAATAACTACTTACGTTAATACGTATTATGCATAACTATTTTGGATTAATAATAAAGTAATAAATTAATGAGTTTTCAACTCTAACAATTCATATCATTTATTTTTATCTCATCTAAAGTGCAACATTTTCTTTGTCAAATCTTATATATATATATATATTTTTGTATAAAATAATTTATGAAGGATTTCATTAAATAAAATAAAAACAAACGATTATATAACGATTTAATATAACTGAGAATGAGCTTAAAAAGTACATTTCATTTAATAATTGCGATTAAATATGAAAATCCGGATTATCGTTTATAAGAGATAAAACTTTCGCGACGAAATGAACTAAGCCCCCCCTTATTTTTGTTCTTTTTCAATTTCATTTTCTTTACTCTTCTTTCTTTTTCTTCTTGATTAATATCCAGTTATAAATGTCGTATTTGAGAAGTTAATTTTTTGTTCTTTTCTTACTTAAACTCGATCGGAAACGTTCGATGTTTTTTTTTTTTTGTATCAACATAGATCAAAGAAAATATTTGATAACTTGCATTCTGTCATAAAATTCTAAATGAAGTCATCGAGAATTTAAATCGTCGATTTTATGATTGCCAAAAGGAATGAGCTTTTTTTTTCTTCTTTTTTTTTCAAGCTTATACGGCTAAACTTTTGAATAGAGATAACGAGACTGGGATAAAGTTGCAACCCAGTCGAAAATAGAAGAGAAAAGCAGCAATTCAGTTGTTAGCAAGAAATCTCTAATCCTTAACGCGTAGGTTGCATTAGAGGAAAAAAAGGAGGAAGAGGATCCTCCTGATGAATATTTCAATGACAACGTTAAATAGAAAATTTTCGATATTGTCATTAATGTAACAAAAGGGACCTATCGAAAGAATTATTATTAATAATGTGAAAAACTCGCCTCGATATGAGAACTTCACATTTTTATTGATTTCGGTATTATATGAGTTTGTGTGATTAATCTTTTACGTGTGTGGATAATCAATTAGTTTCTTTATAATTATATTTTATTATTTATTCCTTCATTGTTTTATTAAAATAGTCTGTTGTGTGTGTTAAAATATTATATAAATATATATATATGCTCATTTATATTTGTCAGTGCAACTGTAATAACAACAGTAAACCCTAAATATATTGTTTTATTTTTCTTCTTTCCAATTTTTTATTATTTCAGTTGAAAATCATTTTTTGTTTCTTGTGTAAAGAACTATTTTCCCTATCGATGCTACGATGTTGTCATCTTTTTCCCCTATTGCATATGATTATTATTGATACACATTGGTGCGGTATTTAATTAATTCTAATATCAATAAAAAAAAAAAAAAGAACCGTCATAGAAGTTGACCTATAGCAGATAAAATAATTCGTATTGGCCATAAAATGTATCCTAGGTAAAAATTTTTTTTTTTTGGCAGACATATGTTTCATAACTGTTCGCTTAAAAACCAACGAGGATTGATAATACACAGTGTTTCTCAAATGTTAATATCGGTCGTTAGAAATTATCTATCATTTATATTGAAGAAAGTAAAGATATAGAAAAAGATGGAGAACGATCTGAAGTTCAACAAAATATTGTCAAGTTCAACTAAACGGGGTTGGTTAGCTATTCATTTTATCTAACTACCGATTTCCACTCCATTTGAGAGGCACTGGATGATAAGAGTTTTCGCATGGGGGTTCTCTCGGTTAAGCCTTCTCGATATATCCCTTTGAGCTTTTTAGCTTTTCTTTTATTTTACCTCTCCTTATCGGTTCTTATCACTGATGCTGATTTATAGCATTACGCAGCTGATTTTATAGCTTTCTGCTAAATAAGTATTATTCTTTTTTATGTTTTTTTTGTTTGTTTTATCCCTCCCTTACTATCCCCATATTATTACTAGGAACAGTTAACTTTAACATTTCCTATATGAGATGACTATTTATTAATACAATGATTAGGAACCTTATGGCTGTGTTTCTTGTTTTAATAGGTCGTTCGAATACTCAGAATATGTGATAAAAGAGAAAAAAACAATGTAAATGATTTCTGTAATTTTCCTTATGAAATTCTAAATAAGTCACAATGATATGTTCCATAAAGTTAGTATTAATGAAAGTCTAACGAATACTAGGTATCTTGACAATTAGCTTATTGAGTATTTCTAATTGAATATTTTATCATGCTTCTGTTGTAGAAATAATGAAAAAATGACCTAGTAAAAAAGTTCATTGCCTAAAATTGATTTTATAAATTGTACAACTGCATCATGGATAAGATAATGTTGAAACTTTTTAGTATATGATTTTTATGGTAATTTCCAGCAAAGAGGATATCCTGCTATATTATTTGCTAATAATATAGAACTACAGATATAGTTGTTTGACAGATCTATGAATGGGAGATGCTAGAGGGAGTAATACCAGTTTACTGGTATAAACAAAGTTCATTTCTTATGGTAAGTCACAGATAATAGATGGTTATCTCATGTCAGGGTTGTATTTAAATAAATATTTGATGTATTCATCTGTTCTTCAATGGTCAAGATTTGATTGTATAGTTAAGTTGACATTTTACTAGCTTTGGGTGAAAAGTAGATAATTGAAAGAACACAATTCTACAAAATGTGTACATGAATTGAGAGAGAAAGAGAGAGAGAGAAAGAGAGAGAGAGAGAGAGAAGGATGTCGTTAAGGAAAGAGATAGAAAAGTAACGTGCGTTCTTAGGGATTTCTAATGACAACGATATGTCTTAAGAAGGATAGTAAGAAAGAAAGAGGGGAAAATGTGTGTGAGAAAGAGAGAGAAAGAGAGAGAAAGAGATAGGAAAAAAGAACCAAAAGAAATGGAAGTAGTTGGTAGGAGAGTGGTGAAACGATAGAAGAAAAAAGAAATAAAAAAGAAGAGACAGAGAAAGAGATAGAAGGTTGAAGAGAAGGTAAGGTAAAGTAGAAGGGAGAGGAAAGAATGGAGGAGAACGGTCATTGCCACCACCTTGCCACGGAGTCGGTGGTAGAGTCCCAATCAGCGTGAAAAGCGAGGAACCTGCTATGGTCTACCAAAGAGAATTGCCCCACACTTTAGTCAGGCCTTTTGTATATTTACAGTGTCGTGTCGGATGAGAGCTAAGGTAAAGAAAGAGAAAGAGAAAGAGAAAGAGAAAAAGAAAAAGAAAGAAAAAGAAATAAAGAAGAAGAGTAGAAAGGAAGGTAAAAAGGTAGGGAGGCGCCTGCACAGGAGAAGGAATGGTGCCTTGTGAATCGGATTCGTGCACGCGGAGTTGAGTCAAGAGCAAGATCGAGACAGCACCGACGAACCCAGGTGTGCTCGCTGATCCACAACTTGCGAGAGTAGAGAGAGAGAAAGACAGAGAGACCAAACCAGTTTGATGATACACCGGCAAGAGAGAAGAGTGACCGGTGTAAACGAAGAAATACTCGCGAGAACGCATCGTCCCAGGGTTCGTCTTCAACTAACGCGAAATTCTCTCTATATGCATATATTCATATACATATGTATATAATAAATTTCTCTCTCTCTCTTTTTTTCTCACTTTGGGTCAACCTGAGCATAAAGGTGTTTACTTTATTTTTTCGAATTTTTTGACGGATTATCATATTAGTGCTTTGCATATTGAATTTGATTGTTGACGTATGCCAACAAGTCACGTGTAGTCACAGAAAAACGCGCGATTTAAGTAAGATAGTTCTTGGTGAATCAACTAGGAAGATCCAAGAAGATTCTTCAAAGATAAAGGACTGCAATATTTCTCTTTCTCTCTCTCTTGGCTGCTTACTCGTTCGGGTAGGATGACCCAAGTCTGACGGAAAATCCCAGTATCATCCGCGATAGTCTAATTCGTCGGCTGATAACGATCGAGGTAAGATTCTGTATCCAACTCTAAGATTTGTACTATTTAAAAAGAGTACAACAACATATGAAAAATATCTCGTTGAAAGATTGATAAATGATTTTGAAATTGATATCTAATGACAATTAAATTAAAGTGTATCTGAATTTAATGTCTGTGTCATTTAACCAAAATTAATTTCATTAAATTCTATTACACGCGTGTACTTATTATTTCTCAAGAAATTTCAAAACAATTAGAATATAAATATTTTTATTTATTTGTCGTTTCAAATCGATGAATTTCAAATGATAGCTGCGAGTGATTGGGAAACGAATAACAATAAAAACAACAACAAAAACCGCTCCAATTTGTTATTTAACAATCAATTAAGATTTCTTGGCTGATCGCTCTTGTTGCTGGTAATTTGATATTTCATTATTATTTTGTTGTTGTCTCCTCTAAAAAACGTATTTCATTTATAAATATTCGTTTGAAACAATACAGTCGAAAGAATAACCATTTAACGTCAATTAAACACGAACAACGTTTGAGTTATAAACGTTCTGTTGAATTTTCGAAATGAACCGACTTTCGATACGTCCTCGATGTTACGCACACCGCACACCAGCAGTGTTAGCACGACGACCAGGTAAACCGTATGTCGTTCACGAATAGCGGTACCATACTCTTGCTTGCCCCTTTCGAAGTCGAATTCGACTTTCACGAGTCGAACAGAGGAGAGAATGCTGGTTGTTGTTTCCTTCATTAAGTTAGGTATCAATTTTCTCTTCTCCTCTTCGATGTGATTCCTTCATGAAAGATTTAAACCGTAAAAATCCTTTTCTCTTTATTTACGACCTTTTTCAATTTATTGCTAACAACAACCTATACACCTATAATATCTATCTATGTATGTTTGTATGTGCCTATAAATCAGAGAAACACACGTGCATATAATACACTTACGTAAACAACCATAGATGCATTTCGTTTAAATTTCATCATTGATTCCACGTATCTTCGATCATACTCCTATGTTAGTAATTTACGATAAAGGTTAATTGAAATTTAACGGTCCTACATGTTTTGGCTTGAATTTAATAGAGAAATAGAGAGAAAAAAAGGCTCTGATTTTCATCGAAAGAACTGTTCTTTCACAGTGCCAGCAACCCACATGTCTTGCGTTCGCATTAGATACGTGTGCGTACAAATGAAAGTGGCGTATACCGTTAACTCTTGCTCGAGCTGTTATTCACGAACGAACGTTCTTTTTTCTTCTTTTTTTTTTTTGTCCAAATACGTGAACTTCGGCTTTAATAGTCAAAAAAAAAAAAATAAATAAATAAATAAAAAATAGAAGAAGAAAAAGAATAAAACTTAGGTTAATTTATCAAAGAGATTGTCATCTAATTGCAAGTTAAAATGGGGATTTTATTTTCCAGAAAGATTCAACAGTTATCTGAATCTTATGTCGAGATGGTATGAGAAAAGAAGAGGAATCTTGTAACCTGACCATCGACAAGCCGTAAGGCTTGGCTCCGGTATTCGTTGCTTCATCCAGCCGAATTAATGCCTTAGGATAACTGTAACGGTTTTTATCATTTCCTCTTCGTAAACAAGAGCAAGTTTTAAACGTTGATTTAATTATATCCATTGCACTTCCTTTTATCTATCTTTCGGTATAGTCTCTCATTCAAATTTTCATAGAAAACTGGACTCCAAAACTGGACACTTGTTGATCGTGTCTTGAAATATTTTATGATAGTTCGTAATTAGAACTTTTTCAAATAATTCTTCTTTGATTTGGACAATGCTATCACTTTCAAACATCTCATTAAAGCCGTTATACTATCCGTGTTTTCCTACATGTGGGTCAACGTATTCGAACGATGAATATAGTATATATATATATGTGTATGTATGCCTCTAGCATACTCTAGACTCACGCTTAGCGTTAGAAGAACACCCGATCGATCTAAGTCGACCCTGAAATAACAGTATCTCGGCCCTCAATATACATACATTCGTAGTAGTAGGAAGGATGCATTTTAATTTACCTGACCATCGACAAGAGTGTTCACTGAGAATCACTTGATCTAAAACATGATTGATCTATCTAATATCTGACAATGGATGGTATACATTTTCCCCCACCTCTTCCAATTAATTTTTGGATTTAACAAATATCATGCAAACTATCGAGACTTTTGACATTTAAAAATCTTCAATTTTTCTTCAACTCCGAGTTAATTAAGACAATAGACGTGATGTTTTCTTTTTTAATTTTGTTCATGTGAAATTGGATAAAATTAATAATTGAAAATAAGAAAAGACTTTTTGTTATTCTTGATAATAGGTTCATTTAGATGTTAAACTGTTGATAGAAAGTGTTGGTTCCTTTTTTAAATTGTTTGTCCATGTGATTCTACATTATAAATTCTTTGTCAGTTGAAATTGAAAATAGTTTGATGAAAAATGGCCGGAAACAAAACAGTTGTCTTGATCGACCTCCTTCTTCCTCCTTCGGTATCATCATCGTCGTCATCGTCGTTGTCGGTTCAACGTACCATCGACCTGCTGAATGATCACGCCAAACGAATGTCTTTCTCGTACCGGTCATTCAACTTACAACAACCTTATACAAGTCTTTGCCATCATCGTGCAAAAGTTCTCCATTAAAAAATACTCTCGCTAATTATGATATGTATCTCGTTTATAAATAATAATAATAAAATTACGGTAACAAAAAAAATAAGTAAGGGTTAAAAAAAAAAAAAAAAAAAAGAAAAACGAAAAAATATAAGCAGAAGATGAAAAAGAAAGAAAGAAAGAAAAAAGAATCATTGATCTTTTGATGATCTATTCTATCTGTTAGGTGCTCGATCTTTTTTTCTACTTGGATGGATCAACTTTTGTTGGAGATCGATCTGCCTTCGTTTATGGTCGATTCCTTCTTTATATACTTCCCAAATACATACATATATATACATATGTAACATAACTCTCTGTATAAGTTACGTATTTTAAATATTAATGAAATTGAGATCGATGTTCTTTCATTTTCAAGACTGACAAACGAGTGGGGAGCGTTCATGATAGATGTACGTTTTAATTCGAAAATAAAATTAAAACTTGTGTCATTTTTTGGAATATTTTTTTCTCATTTTTTTGTTCTTCAGAACAAATTATTAGAAATTTTTTGAAGGAAAGAAAAAAAGATAGAAGTATTCTTGATAGACACGACGAGCGAAAGTCAAGAAACTTGAGTGACTACTCTTAGCAGGATGTCGCACGATATATTTGAAAAAAAGAAATAAAAATAAAAAATATGCATGTGTATGTACATTCGCATGAGATTACGTTGCCATGATTACGAACGAATGACAGATCGCGTGGATAATCTCCTGGGAATATTCTCAGGAATATAATATCACTAGAAGTGATTGACGTTGTTCTATGTCACGGTCGAGGAAATTTGCATCTTATTAACTTTCGTACATATACATTTTATTCAGCTTATTATGACTTATAATTTTTATTTCTCATAGCTATGATTATTAATTACTCAAAATTTTCTAATTATTTATCATTGTTATCGATAAAAATATTATCAAAGATAAATTTTAACCAAATAAAAAGAAACAATATTTCTACAATCAAGAAATAGATGTTTAAAAAAACAAAAACAAATCTATATGCATATCTCATTTCCAATTTCAGATGTGGAGTCATCGCAGATTAAGTTGGATCATCATTTCGCTTTGTAGCGTTTTGATACACGTCACGATAGCCAATCCCATTTACGTACCACAATTTTTACCAAGTAGTAAGTACTTCATTATTATTCTAATCTACTTTATATTCTATTAAAATAGTTAAAAAACAAAAACAAAAATTAGGACACAAATTAAAGTTAACTTTCAATCATTTGATAAGATAGTCAACTAATGTATATTCAAAGAAATTCGTAGTAATATTTTATAGTGTTTCGTCACACTAATAAGATACATGTCATAAAAGTGACCTCAAAATTATCAATGAACGGTAATGGGTAAAGGAAAGATATACCTTGGATTTTCCTCGAACGCGTCAGCTGACTAACGGACCGCTAAGCAAATACCTTCAATATGGCCATACCACGAACATGAATACTTTGCCCATCACCTTTCTTATAGTGTGAGTGTCAATGTTTGTCTGTATGTGTGTGTACGTGAGTGTTTTAAGTGCGTGTATAGAAACACGTGTGTATTTCACTGTCTGTTCACATCACGGAGACGACATTGAACCTACCTTGGATTCGTATTTGAAAGGAACGTGGGCGGACTGGTCAGTGTTCTATGTAAATAAGTAGGTCAGTCTCGGTCATCAGAGTGCACGACTTGCACTAATTTTGTCTACTGTTTTCATCTATGATTCTTGTTTTCCTTTCTTTTTCTTTCTCTCGATATATGTACATATCAATAAATATTCATCAAAAAGTCATTTCCTTGTTAGGAATAACTTACTTAACTTAATTATTGTTGAAATTCAACAAAAATTTATTATTTTATATCACTCTAATCAATGACACATGTTTATCTTTAGAATATAACATTTATCTTGTTATCAAAATGATTTATCTTAAAAAATTCGATAAAGAATTCCAACTATTATAAATTTTTGTTTGTTTATTCTACCGTTAAGTATTTTACACAAATCGTTCCTTTATAAAATTGGTTTGATCGAAGATACATTTTTGTAGGTTTTAAAAATATTTATCTTACTTGCGAATGAATTTATTTTAACAAAGATTTTATTTGTACCAAAGCAGAAATAATTATATCTAACAAATTTCAACGAGATGATTATTTGTACAATCGTATAAGAAATAGAAGTTAGTCCTCCGTTAGAGATATTGATTTCACAATTCAAATTTTGAAATTGTATAACGTTAGTTTGGAATGAAACTATTTCACTGTAAACATTACTTGATTCTATTTGTATAACTACCGATTCTCAGAGAATATCGGTTTCAAATTTTACACTTTGTATATACATATACAAGCATATAATATTTGCGATTTCAATGAAATGATTTTAGACTAGTATAACCGAACGTATCTAACTATTTGTGAAGTTTAGATTTCATTTAAGAGATGCACATGATTCTCATTCTCTAAAAAGAACTTACGTTTCTATAAAAAACAAAAAAAAAAAAAATACATAAAAGAACAATTCCAAGATCGAAAGTTTATTATCGACAATAAAATCAATTTGGACGATATCTAATTGCAATATCCACTTAAAAAAAAAGAACAATATAAAGGAAAGATATTAGAAATTTAAAGGATAAAAAGATTGTATATTTAATAAAAATAAAAATAATATAACGAATGGGTATATATCCATGACGACAGTAGGATAATAAATGAACGATCGAGGAAAGTTATATAGCAATGCGTCTTGGCCACTATAGTGGTGCTCGTAAAGACGATAAAAAAGAGAGAAGACACTTTCCTATGATGGTACAAGACAACATGCATCGAGTGAAATCCTTTCAAACGCGAACTCTCGATCGCGTGGGTGATATATACGTATTACACACATGTATATATGTATACAAATACACAAGTAGTTTTGTAGTGAATCTGTTGGGATCGTGTTATGTTGTATAATACATATATGTATGACATGTATATATGTATGTATTATATATATATATATATATATACGTGTGGCATACTAGCTTAGTACGGTCACGCCTGAAATTCCGCCAAACGGATACGCATAGTAGTGTAGTATAGTAAGTGGTATAAGTATGGTCGAAGGTGATAGGTATGTTAAAGACCTAGCTAAAACTTTCTTCCGTACTTCTGACTCATCGAAACGACATTTCCGCTAACACAAATCCTCCTCCTCCTCCTCTTTTTCTCTTTCTCTTTCTCTTTCTCTTTCTCTTTCTCTTTCTCTTTCTCTTCTCGTTTTGTCGTCATTCTTATTATTTGAGGAAGGACAATCGAGTAGGATTTATTTGGTAAAGGCTAAAGGAAGGAACCGATCGACTAACCAACAAACTAATTAAATGACCAACTGACCTCAAAGCAAACATACCGTAATGCTAATTATTTTACAACACTATTTTTCTTGTCGCATGTACGTTAAATCAAGAGAAACAGAGAGAAAGAGAGAGAGAGAGAGAGAGAGAGAGAGAGAGAGAGAGANAGAGAGAGAGAGAGAGAAAGAAAGAAAGAAAGAAAGAAAGAAAGAAAGAGTTGTAAAAGAAAGTAAAGAAAAGTGTAACGCTCTAGGAACTCGGTTATTTCCCGTACACATGTACTCTTTGTCTTTTAGATAATTTTGAAAATTTTTTAAGAAAGAAGGATCAATTTTAATCTCATTTAATTCCACTGAATCACGATTGATTTATATTTTTTATTGTTCAAAAAATTATCTTAAAATTGAATGAACGAAATTTAAACGAATAAGATAATAACCTTCTTGAATATTATTTTATGTTGTATTTCTTGCAAAATACAAATAAAAAAAAATATATATCTATATATCTATATATATATATATTAATTTCGGGAAATAAAAACATATTGTATATAAAAAAAAATGCGAGCCATTATTAGAAATTGATCTATACTTTTGTTTTTTTTTAATCATTTTGTTGAAAGATTATCTTGGAATTTGTACGATATCTCGTAGAATAAAAGTTCGATAAAAATCACGAATTCCAAAATGACTGTTGAAGAAATGTTGTAGATATTAAAACTTATATTTTTAAACATTAAATTCCTTGAAAAAATGTGCGTCAGTCAAAAAATAATTAATTATTCAAAAATATCATTAAAATTTTATCAAAATATATCGTGGAAATCAATTTTATCTCGAAAAATATTATAACAATAAATTTGATCAATCTTTTACAATCCACGTTCTCGATCGTTTATATAGCGACATTAAACGATTATTAAAATATTTCCAAAGTCGACAAAAATCAATGTGAATCTTTTTTCATGCTTTTCCGTGCTTAATTATATTGAGTAACGTAATATCATTGACGTTTGATATCCATATATTTTGTTATGCACGTGGCCACCGACGCATCATTTTACAATGTTCTCTTAACGAAGATTAAAAATCTAGGTCAACAGAATTAATAAAAGATTATAATTCGAAAAATATATTTTCTAAAGATTTCTTATCCACAATTTCTAGCATCTTCGAATATGTCACGTCACATTGCTTAATAGTTTCAAAAGATAACATCATATCGATAGATATTACCGATAAATAATTTCTTTACAAAGAAGGAAAAAAAAAAAGGAAAGTAATGACGTGTTTTCATTATTACTTGTTCGGCAAAAAAATCTATACTTGAGAATGCAATAATTCTAGAAGTATCCTGCAGAGATTGACGTAAGCTCGCAAACAAAGTACTCATGAGAAATACAATATCTTTCTTTTTAGAAAAAAAAAAAAAAAAAATAAGAAAATCCCTCATCTTGTATGAACATTTATCGAAAAGATTAGTTACCATTTAGTAAATAATCAATTTCTAATTTCTCATTATGTGTAATCCATATACTTCTAAGATATTATAATATTTAATAAATAAAATCAATTAAATAAGCTGAAATATATATATATATATATATATAAATTACAAAAAATAAAAAACAACTTTTTTGAATCGACTAATCAAACATTGAATGTGTAATTATCATTGACAGAAATAAATGTAGTACGTCACTGAACATTCTTTATCAAAATGAAAGAAAGACAAAAGGAAAGAGATATACATAAAAACCCTAATGTAAAAGTATTGTTTCTCGTTTAGATTATCTCAATTAGATAAATTAACTTGTTCAAAGTTCATTTATTCTTAAAACGATGAATTTGATGTACACGTTTTTCATCACCTCGAATTACGATAAATCATTGTCTGAGAATTTTGTTCGTTGAATGAATCAGACATTGGTAAACGAAAACGTACGAATTAGATTTAAATCAATCATTAATTATCCTATATAAATATTTAATTTTTCATTAAATTATGTAACAACAATAAAATATATTTATGAAAAGATTAATATCGATCATTAGATTTCATCTAATCTCAATCTCACCTTTCAAGATATTATCATTGTTCTTACAAAAAAAGAAAAAAAAAAACCAGAAGATTTCTTTTGACAAGCAACATTGTTTACGCGATTATTTTTTATTTTAAAAAATATATAAAAAATATAATAAAGATTCGAAATATATAATTTTTGGGGGGGAGAGGGAGGGGGGGGATAAACATTTGACATTATTTTTCACGTAAATATGTACGGTATCTATTCTCGGAGAAGTTAACCTACAGAGATATGTCGATTTAATCGTCTGGGATACCTCGAAGATGCCTTGGAATGCGCTCAGTGGTTTCTTTGGCTTTGTAAGATGAGAAGGATAAAAAGAGAAAAAGAAAAAAGAAAAAGGAAAATAAAAAGAAAGAGGGAAAGAGAGAAAAAGAGAGAGGGACCAAGATTACGAGGTGCCTTGGAAGGAAACGAGTTGTTACATTGGGCTATGACTATGACCCACTTGTGACTCGGGTAACTAGCTCATACATCGAAATTTAACGGTACCCAGATGCTTCCATTCGCCTGACATCAATTCATTCCTTCCTTATTTCGATAATAATCCATGCTACTTCGTCGTCGTCATCGTCGTTCTACGTAACGCACCAACAACGCCATGAATTTTTTATTTTCACTCGTGTCGTTCTAATTTCACGTATAGTATTTACGTGATTACGATCGTTCGATAATATCCAAAAAAAAGAAAAACAAAAAAAAAGATCGTTACGATGAAAATATTTACAATATTCTTAAGCTTAAAGAATTTCGATCATTGGCATCAATCTTTTTCTATTATTCGATAAAATACATTTAAAAAAAAATAAAATGTCAAACCCATGAATTCACCTGATAAAAATAATTGATAAGCTTACATTTATTGACATCTCCGATGAAAAATATACTCTCTGTCTTTTTTTTTTTTCTATTCTTATTATTCGACCACTCGAAGGAATAAATAGTTCAAAGAGTATAATTTGATGATAAGGTTGTCCTATTTTAGTACGTATTCTCAAATATCTTTTATCTCAACATTTACATTTAGCTATATTTTCTATGATTACATAATTGAGTTCCCAGATATAATAATCATTTAATGCTCGTCTAACGAATGTCCATCGATAACAGCCTATTTCTCTTTCATCGAAATAACATTGTCTGCTATCTATAAGTTAGGCTAGAATGTAACATATTGAATGGAAACTTGGTTGATGTGAAGAATCGATCGATAATAAAACGAAATACTCGTCAAGCTCGATTATCTACCAACGATACATATATTCTTTATCATCATTTTTTTGTTGTTTTATAATAGTATATTACATACCTAGGGCGGTAAAGTAAGAAATGTCTCAGAGCACATGTAATTGTTGTCCGAGGCGAAGTCGAGGTCAAAAAACATGTGCTTTGAGGCTTTCTTGTTTACTGCCCATGGTGAGTATACATTTTTTCTGCTCGACGTAGGCGGAAAGCGGCAACTTCGTTTAGCACAGCGGGAGAAAAGTTGACGCTTTCCTCCCGGAGGGAAGAAAATAAGATTTTTCATTCACAAGTTTTATTCGATCGATCGTTCAAAGATGGAGCTTCCTTTATCGTCAGTCGTTAAAATTGTATTAAGTATTTTCTTATTTTTTAACTCAATTTTTCGAAACATTCAAAAATAACAATTTACGAATAAAAAATTTCATTACCAAAATTCTACTGCATACTTTAATGACGTAAATAGATAATTAAACGAGTGAAATATTTAATACACTTGACCTTGCCCTAATACGTTAATTATAATGTTATCAATGTATGTCAAGATCGCATACTAATAGTCTTATTTAAACTGCGGATAAAGGATAAAAAAGCAAATGTGCAACTAAAAACACGTTTTAGAATGAAGATTAGATATCTGGGTTGTAAATGCTTCCGTATTGATTTTTCTTTTTCCTTCTTTTCTCTTTTTGCATTGAAGTGTCTCCTATAACTGTGCATTTTCCCCCATAACGCGTTATATATTCTAAACATGAAATACAGTTTATTCGTGTATAACATCTATCTTATGCTTGCCGTCGTTCATAATTTTACCCTTGATGATTCTAAATGCATTCCATTGATGCTCCATATTATAATCTTAATAGAGATGATGAATAACAGGAAACTACCATGTATAATCGGTTAATAATCGAGCAAGAAATTCCACTACAATTAGAAGAAGAAATACAATAAAAATAGTGCAACAGATATTTCTAATAATCCAAAAGAAAAGATAATATAACTAGTCTTCTGGATTGAAAAATGAATTTAACTCTTGCAAAATAAAAATTATTCTACACGTAAAAGTGGTTTGAAAAAAAGTATTTACAATTTGTAAAAGATCATCTAAACTTGCGTGAATTTATTTTTAACCAATGTGCTTCTTTACGATTATTCTAATTATCGACTAATTTGTTTGCGTATTTTTATTTTAATTTCTTTTTCTACTTCTAGGTACTGGAAGAAACATACGACATTTGCCATGCGTGTCGCGTAGATCAGGCGAGACCGGAATTTGCATGTTTGCGTTCACTTGTGCAAAGGCGAATGGCACGCATCTTGGTACATGCATCGATCGTTTCTATTTCGGTAGTTGTTGCAAGATTGACGAAGAGCCGGACGTTGGACCTCAAGACAACAGCATCGACGATGGACCGCCAGCAGCGTCAAGGCCGTTCATCACTACTCACAGTCCCATCGAGAGCAATGACATACCCCCATATTTTCCAAGGCCAAAGCCTAATGATCAAAGCAAACCATCTGGTACATTCACCACTGTGGTAAGTTCGTACATTTTTCGTTTCTATGATTTTACAAAGTTTATTCTATTCTTTTTACTCACCAGATTCGAATTTGAAATCATAAATAGACATTTCAGTTATATTTACTACTTGCAAAAAAGATAATTACACTTTTAAAACTATTCAAGGTAAGACATAAAACTAGACTATAATTGTCACGTTTTGTATTATCAAAATGAGGAAGTTGTTTAAAAAGGAAGGTAAAATCTAATGAGGCTAATTATAAAGATCTTGGATTTCCTGAATAAAAATAAATATAATATACGAATGAAAAAATAAATATAATATACGATCTGATAGATTTAAAAATCTTTAATTAAATCGATCTCCATTGTTTCGCAGGCTACTGCTATCACTCAAGCTACGCAAAATACAAAAAGTACATCGGATCCACAGATAAGTAGTACAAAGATTGTTACGAAGAAACCGACTATACAAACTGTAGAAACGACGACTCAATCGATTCGTTTATCGACTTTCCAAACAGTTCAAAATGGTTCGTACGAAAAATTCACTACAAGTGCACCAATTAAAAATGTCACTGAGATTTCAACAGAAAATACGAAGTATTCGTCAAATGTGTCTACAACTTCGACAATTCCTAGTAAATTATCAGTCGGTATCACGACTCAAAAGCCAACAGTTCCTTACAAAATATCGACTTCAGTCGCAACGAAAAGACCAATCGTTGGTACGTCAAAACCAACGACGAAAAAACCTTTACATACGAGTACTCAAACGACGAGTACTCAACGACCGATACAAACTACCACGTCGAAAACTATTATTACAACAACGCAAAAGACAGTACCTTTTACGAGATTTCCACCAAGAAATACAACATCGGTCAAGCCAGTGACTCAACAATCTACCAAGAGACCATCTACCGGTAGCACAAAAAGGCCCCTCACCACAAGCACGAAAAGGCCTACCTTGTCTACCAAAAAACCAACTCTACCTACTAAAAAACCAACGACTATTCCAGCAAATTCTTCGATCGGTTCCAGTCATGGTACAACGACAACGACAACGACAACAACAACAGCATCAACTTATTCGACATCTAATAAAGTGAGACCAACGTTCACGACAATTGAAAATAATCTTTTATCTTCAACCGAAGAAACGCTTGTAACTTCAGCGACGGAAACTACAGATTTCACAACTCGAAAACCGATTACAATCACAACTGAGAAACCGATTTATCAGAAGATCACGATTAAACCGAAACCAACGGTTTCTAGGCCAGTTGTAACAACAGTGATCAATACGAAACCTACTAAAATCAATACAATAATAACTACTGATAAATCAGAAACACTCTTTACCACAGAAAAGACTACTTATCAAAGTTCAGCCAGTAATTCAACTTTGGATATTAGCAAGCCAAAACCTACTGAAAGTCCAACCAAGGCTACGACAAAGCCTATTAGGATCACAACACCTAGTTCCGTCTCTGTCGATAGCTTCATTAGTTCCTCTTCTTCGAGTGTATCTACTCAGAGTACTACTACAACAAACAACAAGGTATCTTCTATCAACCAGACTTTTGAAAAAGTTCCACAAACTACCCCATCATCTGGTTTGGTCACGTGGTCTTCTCATTCCGACGAGATACCTACTAAAGCGACCGATGTTTTATCGACAACCAAGACACACGACGGTAGGTTGAAATTATTATTCTGAATATATGAAAAATTATTAATTATACATACACATGATGCATAACAATAATTATCTAATTTAAATTGTTATATTAATAACATCTAGATAGTATTATTACAAACCCAATGTAGAAAATCGGCTTATGTAATGAAATTACATTTTACATTTCCGTATGCGTCCTATCTGAACGTACACTTATTGTGTAACTAAAACTCTCTTGTCGTCAATAGAAAATTATTCTCCCAGAGAAATTCACGACGAGGCGTTATATTATACCTTTCGCATTAATCAGCATTCAGGATAGTGGATATCCGAGAAAATTTGATTGATTGCTTGGGATATCTATCGTATTCTCACTCATGTTTCCTTCCTTTTCATAATGTTCTCCTAATCGTTCGTATAATGGAAACTTACGATCTATTGTGATTCTTCATTGTTTGTTAATTGAAACACCATATTCCAAAGTATTTTTAATTATTCTTATAACTTCAAGTATATTATCAATCTAAAGTATAGCATAGAAGATTTGAAAATAATAGAATTTGAATTTTCGTACGGAATTAATCGTCAAAAAAAAAATCTACAAGTTTCGATCACGTAACGTATCATTTGCATTGATGTGAAGCTTCTTGAGTAGAATGATTAAGACATCATTCTATTTTTAGAAGAAGAAACGCGCGAAGGATACGGACTTATGAGATTTATGAGATATTCTTCTCAAGGAACACGATACACATTGTATTATTCTTATCACGAACAAGTAATTAAGTTTATAATCGTTATGTTGAATTTGCAAACCTTAAATTATTAATTTTATTTCTGGTTGGCTATTGTATTTGGACTGGTTCAAGGCCAGTTTACTGAGCTAGATCAAGATCAAGATCAAGAAAGAACAGGGTCGATCTAGCAAATGGGTTAAAGAGACATTTCTCTTCATCTATCTCTGCTCCTCTCTTCTTTAGTACATCCAGCAGCATCGTAAGAGAAGATAAAACTCTGTACATCGGACTGGGACGTCGTAACGGTTTAAACCATCCACCGTAATTTCTCTTCTCTCTTTTCCTTTCCATCCTGTCTCTTCTTCCACGATTCCTATCCAACCGTCTGAGAGCCAATCTAAGTCATTGTTAGCTCAATGGAATCTATTTCTTGCCGCGGATTTACTATTCTATATTTTTACTTTAATAGATTTTTTTTTATTCTAACATTAAGAAATCTTTTATTTCAGAAATAACGGAGAACGAATGGACACCAATAACTACGCCGGATGGTTGGGTAATGATCCAATCACCACCGACGACTGCTGAAACATCCTCGGGAAATCCGGAAAGTACTACGATTAAATTGGAATCTTTATCGTCCACTACATTATCTACCACACCTGGTAATAACAAAATTATCTTCGTTATTTATGTAGAAATTCTTCTTTCTAACTGCAATTGAATACTTTATTATATAATATATCCGATAATTTAGTAATAATAATTTTTTATAAATGATTTAGTGAGATCAACAACCGAAACTACAACAACAACGGAACAAGTTACGGAGACGTCAACGGTTCTAACAACTTTGTCAAATCTGGCAACTATTTCTGTTGATACGGAAACACCGATAACGATAGAAACTCTGAATATGTCGGATTATAAACAAGGTTATTATGTTTATTTCGGTTATTATGTTATTATCGGATATAAACAATGGTTATTGAGCAAGATATTTTATTATTATTAATTAAAAGTCTTTCTACCAAAGCTATAAAATTAGATAAAAGTGAAAAAATATTAGAGATAACTAAGAAGAATATCACGAGTGGATGCACCGATTGTTTCTTACTCTCTTATTTACTTCCTATAAACTTTTCTTTATTTTCTCGAGAAACACGAGAGCTCTCAGCAGGGAAGAGATTTTTTTCACGAGAAACGATCCGTTGAGTATATAAATTGAAAATGTTTATATAGAGGAATGAAGGAGGGAGAATATATATATATATACTTATGTAGCCAATGAAACGTTTCGTTCACATTTAAAGAACGTAGAGTGGGTTGAGAGAAAAAATAAAAGGAAGCACGTGACTTCTACCGGTTCATCCAGTCGAATGAATTCAAGCACGTTCTTGTTCTCCAACATGGCTTTCGTACAAACGACAACGACGACAACGACAACGACAACGACAACGACTACGACGATTACGACGACGACAAATTTCTTCACAACCATAAACTCAACGATACTTCTGCTTGCAGTTTGCGGAAGAAGAATATTTCCCGAGTCGAGGATCGTGGGTGGCAATCGAAGTACGTTTGGCAAATGGCCCTGGCAGGTGGGTGGATTGAAAAAAAAAATTAAAAAATAAAACCAAAACAGAAAAAGATACAAAGTTCTCATCTTTATTTCACAATTTTTTGTCATTATGTTTAATTTTGAAAGAGAAAACAAAAAGACAAAAATAAGATAGACGATAAAAGAAGATAATGTTGATCGACTAGAAGATAGAAAAGCTTTCAGCTCATCTCATTTCTCGGAAATGTTTATCTCGACGTTGTTTGTTCATTTCTATCACGACAAACGCATCATACAATCTAATTTAATCAACAGACACCCCTATCGTTATCTAGAAAAGCGTGAATTTCAAAGATTGCTTGTTTTACAGATCTCGTTACGTCAATGGAAGACATCAACTTATTTACACAAGTGTGGGGCTGCTTTGTTAAACGAGAATTGGGCTATTACTGCAGCACACTGCGTTGAAAAGTGAGTGCGTACCGTTTTTTCATCTAACTAATAAGTACTCCTAGTTAGTCTTTTATCTGTTCGATTTAATTTCAGCGTATCTCCAGCGGATTTATTATTGAGGATAGGTGAACACGATCTAGCTAACGAGGAAGAACCCTATGGGTTCCAAGAAAGACGAGTACAAATCATTGCGAGTCATCCACAATTCGATCCAAGAACTTTCGAATACGATCTCGCACTTTTGAGATTCTACGAGCCACTTTCGACATTCAAGCCAAATATTTTGCCAATTTGTCTACCGGATGATGATGAAACTTACGTTGGTCGTACGGCTTATGTTACCGGATGGGGAAGACTTTACGACGGTATGAAAAATTTATTTTTTCTGTCTTGTCAATAAAAAAAAGAAAAAAGAGAAAACTTTAATAAATTGTATATTCACTTTGATGTCTAATGTATATTATTACGTAAATGTATATATTAGTATAATGTATATTTTTAACGATAAATTTATAGAAGGGCCATTACCATCGATCTTACAAGAAGTTGCTGTACCAGTTATAAATAATACAATTTGCGAATCTATGTATAGAAATGCCGGTTATATCGAACACATACCACATATCTTCATTTGTGCTGGATGGAGAAACGGTGGTTTTGATTCATGTGAGGTAAGATATGAACGATCTATACAACTAAGTAATAAATATTATAAGGAATTAATTAAATGATATATCAAATTGATATGTTTTTAGGGTGATAGCGGTGGTCCGATGGTAATTCAAAGGGCACGGGATAAAAGATGGATATTAGCAGGAATTATAAGTTGGGGAATAGGTTGTGCTGTACCAAATCAACCTGGTGTCTACACGCGTATTTCCGAATTCCGCGAATGGATCAATCAAATCTTACAATTTTAATTCGATCAATAAAAAAGGTGCGAACGCGAAAAATCTACGAATGACCTGTGCAAACTGGACGAACATTGATCTCACAGGAGAACTAAAAAAAGGAGGAGAAGAAAAATTCGTATAGCTAGGATTTCAAATTTCCCGGCAAAGTGAAAATAATCAAGAGAAACGTGTATGGATGCCACCTGACGTTTATGTTTCGAAATTGCTAAAGAACGTTTGATAAGTGAACTATCTGTACTACCAACAGCGGTGTTATTTTACAACGAAAGTTATGATTTCTACGATATGTGGTGTCACGTCATCTAATCGAAAGTGAATCTCGACGTCTCCGTTTTTCCCCAAAAACGCGACCTTTATTCGAATATCGACCAAAGGATAAGAGCCTAATTATCCTGTTTCTTATTTTTTTTTTTTTTAATTGCAAGTTAAATGTGCAATACAAATGGATGAAAAATTAGATGATATTCTTTATATATTTTTTTTTAAATTTGTTATTTTTCTTTGATTGAAAAACAAAAGGAAAAAAATTTAACATAGTGATAAACTCGAACACGCTTCGGGCTAAATGCAATATCGAATGGAAAAGTGCTATGTGACAGCGAAATAATAAATCGAAAATGATTTTTCATATCTAAACTTCGATATCAATCTATGATTTAGCAACGTATCTGGATATTGATGAGCAATGATATTCACTCGAGCATATTTTATAATACTTAAAATATCCGAGGAAAAGTTATTCTCCCGATAATGGTTTTATTTGCATACGTAGAACTGATTGTTACGCGCTTCATTAAACTCGATTTATATGCAATAATTCTTCTCGAATAGAATATTTTTATATTACTCGTGTCAAAACTTCGTAAACACGTTTTTTCCTTCCCTTATTACGCGATTCTACTTGTTTTTATTTTATTATTTCCAAAAGAAAAAGAAAAAAGAATAAAAAATAGTCGTATACTCACGCGCGAACTACGATCATTTTTTTATACGAATACAATTAAATATTCTATATGAACGCCAACGTATGACATGAAAAAGACACGTTTCCTCTGCTAATAATTAAATTTGTATTCTCACGGGGGATGATATGTACGAACGTTAAATCAAATTCATCGTTATTTATTTTACGACTATGGCATATAAGAATATTGTTTATTTAGAAATTAACGATAAATCACGTATCACGATTCATTGCGAATGAAGTAATTCATAAATGGACGAAGTTTATACTAAACAAATTTTATCAGTAATTCTTTAGTATACATTAAAACCTCTATTATATTATTTCATTATAATAACATTTTTTTCAATCAATACATAAAATAGAATATTTTTCAAAAAGATATTATTAGTATAACGGAAATATTATTGGAGCATTTATTGTACTCCAAAAAATATGAGATTAAATTTCATAGCAAATGTTACTCGAATATGCATACATACATATGCACGAGATGAACCAATAACTATTGCTCTCTCAATCTTTATATATATATATCTCTCTCTATTTTTCTCTTTCTCTCCGAAATTATTTTTTATTTACTTGTTTTAATATAAATTCGTTGTTATAAATATAATAAAAATAATAATAATAATAGATCTGTCCTGTACATACATATATACTATATAATATAAATATTATAATATATTAATCATAGAAAAATTATCGACTTACGCGAAAATAATTGGCTCGTATCGTAGCAACGAGACAAGCGTTTTGATATATTGAATACGACGACGAGAATAAGAAAGTAAAAATGTCTGGGCATCAACGATTTGTATTTCTTGTGCGTCCGGGATTTATCATCAAAACGTTATTTAATTTAATTTATATAAAAGTGACAGACGCGAGCGTTATAAATAAATAATTTATTAACATCGATGTGTCAATTTAAACGCGAGAAAGTCGAACTGTCGTCATTTCTGTAAATATTCAATTCGTTCGACATCGCGCGACTCATCCTCGCGATATTTTTTTATTATTTACTTTTTATATTTTATTTCTATCGTTCTCCCTTTTTTCTTTCTCTCTCTCTCTCTCTCTCTCCCTCTTTCTTTCTTTCTTTTTTCACGTTATTTTACTTTATTGCGAGATATTTCCCCTTTCCGTTATATATGTTCTTTTTGTTTATATTCAGAATACGAATTATTAAAAAACGACGAGACGGATAAGGAAAGAAAAAAAATGATAAAAAAAAAAAAGTGAAAGCAAGCAAATACATTCCGTAGTACGTTTATTATCTTTCCCTAATTTATTTTCCTCTTCCTCGTTCATATTTCTATTTCCTTTATTTTCCAAAGCTACTCCTAATCGAATATCCTCGACTTTATAAATCCCCGTTCCTAACTTCTTCATATTTCATTTTGAATTCTTAACGTGGGTGTTGCCAGCTTTGTTTGCACAACTTTACGGTAAATGATTTTAATTGTCAATAGAAATAGCGCCCACAGCAATAGTAAGTTCTGTTGTAAAACTACCTACGTATTGCGTGTATGCGTGTGAATGAGAAGTTTGTATTTTATTCGTTATAGTATTTTATGAAAGAGAGATAAAAAAAATAAATAAAAATAAAAATAAAAAAGAAATATACTTCCGAAGTCATGGACTTAATGAAGAACCGGTATGTTGTTGTTGTTGTTGTTGTTAGTGTTACCACCTACGCGATGATTATCTATTTTGTTTATTTTTTTAACCTTTTTATTTTACGAGATATAATATTGAGTTGCTCGAAATATTCCTATGGATTTTTTTTATAAAACGATGTACATAATGATATAAATTTTAATTTTAACCTTCTGTTTGTTTTCATAATTTTGTAAATAAATTACATTTACTCTTTTATATCGTTTTCTTATTATTCCATGTCATAGTATTTTCTTTATATTTTTCCTAATAATACATGAGCATACTGCTAATTGAACTGTCGTATACACGCCCAACATTTTATCCTATAACGAAATGAAGTATTAACGAGAAAATACGTAACACTCTTGTTGCTATTATGAATCGTTCATTTATTGTCAAATCTAATAAAATGACTTCTCGAATGAGAATTTATATTTTTGTATTAGAGACAGTTTTCTTTTTTTACGATTATAATTGGAGATGTTGTTTCGACCAATAACAGAATGTAAATGTCTACTAAACCGTGAAAACTTATTTATTGAAAAAGATCAAGAAGAGATTTTCGACCATAACTCGTAGAGAAAACGATGTTGACTCATGAATATTGATTATAAAATGAATGCGTCAAGTTGTATTTCGTTTTAGCTTTTCTTTTATTACCGAGTATATTAGAGCATAGTCAAGTATAGTCGAGTATAGTCGAGTATAGTCGAGTATAGTCGTATATAATAGAGTATAGTCGTATATAATAGAGTATAGTCGTATATAATAGAGTATAGTCGTATATAATAGAGTATAGTCTAGTATAATAGAGAATAGTCGAGTATAGTCGATTATAATAGAGTATAGTCAAGTATAATAGAATATAAAGTAAAAATAGAAAGTAAAGTAAAAGTAGAATAAAACATACCCAACAATAATTAATTTAAATAATTACAACTAGTAGCTTGTGCCGATTAGAACTTATAATCCTCATAATGATTGAACACCGCAGTGAATATACATTTTTGTACTCACTTGTTACATACTGTTACATCACATATATGCGGCATTTTAGAATTAAAATAATGCATATATGAAATATGAACAGTTTGCATTAGAAGTTCTGCGATGACTCCCACACACGAATATTCCGTGGCAAGTATTGCAGTATATTGATAGGAAAGTTCCTCGATTTGTTATTGCAGAAGATCCATCGACCATTCCATATCTTTTAAAAGGATGAACATTCGTCGTCATATCTATAATATAAAATAAAAGAAAACGATAAGTTATATCTGCAATATAATCCATAATCATATAAAATAAAATCGAATAAAATATAAATAAAAATGGATACTTACAATGCATTCCAATGGGATGCAGCTCTATTGCATCATGGCGATGCACCTCGCGTGAATCTACAAACGCGGTATAAACGAAAATAAGAAACTATAGATGAGTTTCTTATCGCGAAACCGAAATTTTATTATACGACGAACAACACTGATTCTAATTCGCGTTTGACTTTAATTTAATACTCGCCCGATCACTGATTCTACAACTAATTCAAAATGAACTGCATTGCACGCAGTCAATTTAAACAAACACATTTCACATTTAAAAAAAAAGTGAAGACAACACATTTTTTAAATAAATAATTAATACTTCTACTTACACCCCATAAGAAACCAAAATTCTTGATGAAACTCTTAATATTCTATTTTTTTCTTTGGTACACATATCTAAAAATATTTAAATTTATATTTGTTATAGAATTTAGATAATTATATTTTTGATTCTGTATATAAATAAGTGCCTTCAGAAATGCCATTATATATATATTAACAAGTAGTCATTTAAAACAATGAGATAGAAGAAAATCTCAAAGATTTGTTGTTAAATCCAACGATGATCACCTGTAACAAGAAGAAAACTATATTAATCATAAAATCAAGTGATACAGAATAGCCTAACATATGAATCGTCCAATTTACAGATGCACTTTTCAATTGAATTCATTATTTGTTTCATTCAAATCTCTAT